TGTGTGTGTGTGTGTGTGTGTGTGTGTGTGTGTGCGATGGAACAGATCATTGAGGGCAATAATAAGGTGGCATCTCCCCTACGTACCCATCATTTCGCGCACAGGCAGCTACAGTGACACTGTCAATACTCTTCCATCGTGAGACACAAGCATCGCCACTTCTTTGCATGTGTCTGTGTGTGCATGTGTACAGTTGTGCATGTCTGTGTGTGTGTGTGTGTGTGTGTGTGAGCACTGCGTAGAATGATGGTTGTGTATTTAGGTGGTATATCTGTTTCTCTCGACTTTCGTTGAGCCTTCAAATTTGTTTATTATCTATTGAGCAAGGTTTTGCCACAGTATCGTTACTTTTTTTTTCGTATTAATTTAGATCATTTCATATCAAAATTTAGTATGTGATAAAATGTAATGATAAATTAATTATGTATTATAAAAGAGATTTGCTGCACTGGGAAGTATATATGTGAACGTTACTGTTTGAGCGTTGTACATGTTTGCGCAAGTGGGGATTCAAATGCTAAATGAAAATTAAAAATATTCAACTATTGGTAATGCATATATTTTCACTACTAAGAAAGCTATAAATTTATTCTAGTAGAAAATGGTAAAATTTGCAATGATGATAAAAAAATCAACAAATTATACTTCATGCTGACAGTTTTTCTAGGCAAATATTGCTATAAAATCGAAATATTGTGTCATGGTATATTATTATTGGAATGGTGGATGAAATACTATCAGATCGATAGGGTCAAGGTTTGTTTTTTTTTTTTTTTTGAAAATCGTTGAGCAGGGTATTAAATTTTGAAGTAATTTCTGGATGACATTATTTGCTTTCAAAAATTTTAGATAAAATAATTTACTAGAATATTATTAAAGTGATATGTTTATTTCATTTGATCCCAGAACATGTTGATGTTTAGCATTTTTTCTTTCTTATATAAATTATAGCTGATGCTGCTGCTTATGCTCGACAACGTTACTGTTTCACATGATTTCAGATTTAATTTTGTCCTTTTTTATTTTCAGGTGTTCTTTCAGTTTTATATTAGACATTTTTCAACCGGAATGTAACAAAAGGGTTGAGAAAGGGTTATCCGTTATCCATCTGTTAAATTTTTCGAATCTATGTCTTATTCCAGATGTCAGCATGTAATAAAATAATTAATTCAACTTTTCCAACATTCGATTACTTTCGTTCACAATATTTTTTTGTCAAGAAATGGAAAAGATTGGTCATTTAGTTGCTGTAAGGAAGTCTTTTTTTTTACTTCCATAAACTATATTTGATTATTTTTGGACCTTTACGTTTCACTATGTGCAAACATTTTTTTTAAATTATTTTTTTATTGATGGTTCATTAAAATATGGTCGAAAATTTTTTGTCACTTAAGAAAAAACTGAAATTTTTGTTGAAAAACTTGAAATTTGGGAAATGAAATGAGAGTTTAAACATTTGAAATTCTATTTTGTCGTATTGTCGGTGGTTTTATTTGTTTATCACGTCGTGTATTGTAGCGCTCGATCTTTCCCCTCCTTCGTAAACGATTTTATAGATTAATTTTCAGATTTTTTTTATACTTACTGACGTTATACTGTGACAGTTTGGCTTTAAGGCTTTATTGCCTTCATTCTGATATTAGTTCTATTAGTTCTATCTGACGGTTCTCTTACTTATTTCACATATACTGTAATACTAGCTCATTTTGAAATTTAAAAATTTCTAACCTAACAATGGATGCGGATGGCTCAGCTCAAGATGAATCTGTTAGCGGTGGTCCAGGACAAGCTACCATCAGTGGTAGTCGAGCTCAGAGTCCATCTGCATCAGCAAGTGGTTCATCATCAACCTCAACGACACCAACAGATGTTCATATGCCGGTCGCTGAGAATTGGTGCCACACACAGGTATAAAATATTTTTGTTATTATTAAATGCTTATTGTAAAATAGGTAGTAATTTCTTATTTATTAGAAATAAACTAATATATACTAACATAACTATTAACATAAGAAATGAGTGTCGCATTGTCACATTAAGTAGAAACATTCGTATAATTAAAATATTTTTATTATTAGGGATTAACAAAAACATGTTAGCTTTAATGAATTGTGGTGCTAAAGGAACTTTACTGTTCTCGGATCATTTTATAACATGTGAGAAACAAGAGTTACATATCGAGAGTGATTTTTTCGCGTATATAGATGCTCAAAGAATTTCCAAATTTTCAGGTGAAAGTAATCAAGTTTAATTATATGTGGACTATTAACAATTTTTCATTTTGTCGTGAGGAAATGGGTGAGGTACTGAAAAGTTCGACTTTTAGTGCTGGTTCGAATGATAAGTTAAAATGGTGTTTAAGGATTAACCCAAAAGGTACTTTATCTGTCATAACCATACAATCGTATTTGATCATTTTACATGTGTATATGTCTTCTTAATAAAGTGTTGCATTTGTGTTTTTTCTAGAAACCAAATATTGTTAAATAACATTTCATGAAAAGTTTTACAGAAGCGTCATGCAAATTGCTAAATTGGGCTAAAATTGTCTTAGACTTCTTTTAAATTCGATGTTTGGTTTTCGCTCATTTTTCAGCCGTTTGTTTTCAGGACTTGACGAGGAATCAAAGGATTATTTATCACTTTACTTGTTACTTGTACAATGTGCTAAAAATGAAGTACGAGCTAAATTCAAGTTTTCAATACTAAATGCTAAGAGGGAGGAAACTAAGGCCATGGGTTTGTTTTCTTGCTGTTTGATTTTATGGTGAATTTTTAAGAGAAAAATCACCGATTTAACGGAGTTTGTGCAAGTTTGTGAGCAGTAATTTAAAATTTAGAAAAAAAATTTAGGATAGAATTACCGTAAAAAGTCGATTAAGTTTGTTAAAATTTCAAAATTTCAGAATCTCAACGTGCATATCGCTTTGTACAGGGAAAGGATTGGGGATTCAAGAAGTTTATTCGAAGGGATTTTCTTCTTGATGAAGCAAATGGTCTCCTTCCTGAAGATAGATTAAGTATTTTTTGTGAGGTAATGAATTCATATGAATTTTTTTCATAGCTTGTAATAAAAGTATGTATTAGATTTAATACGAATGTTATTGGATTTAATTAATAAAAATAAATGATTTTAAGTCAGATTTAAAACTATTATCGGTTTTATTTTTCTTGAACTGGTTTCATTGATCCCAGTCTATAGTGTTCGTTATTCATCCAGGATAGAAAAAATATTCCTGGAATTTATAAATACTTTTTTCAGGTATCAGTTGTAGCGGAAACAGTTAATGTAACGGGGCAATCAAATCTTATGCAATTCAAGGTACCATCTTGCCGGTTATCCGATGATATGGCTAACCTTTTCGAAAAGCATTGTTTTTCGGATTGTCTTCTGGTAACCGGTACAAAGGAGTTTCATGTAAGCTATTTTCATGCTATGGAATATCTGTCTTCTAAATATTAGGACGCCTTCATTTGGGGGACAAATTTATTGATAACATATTTCTGGTATTATTTACACTAGTTATTCTTAAAATGCTTTAGAGTTTATCAGTACCGGTAATTGCAATAAGTTTGGTAGAAAATGGGAATGAATTAAATTTGGGATCGATTAATAATTTTTTGTTCAGGAAACAGAGAACTTGATTTACGACTAAAATTCAAATTTAGTTTTGTACCTGTGCCATATTTTACAGGTACATAAAGCTGTATTAGCGACAAGGTCTCCTGTATTTGCTGCATGCTTTGAACATAAAATGAGTGAGTCACAGTCGGATCGTGTTATTATCGATGATGTTGAGCCAGATGTTATGAAAGAAATGTTACGATTTATGTACACTGGTACAGCACCCAATCTTGACCGCATGGCTGACACGCTATTAGCGGCGGCTGACAAATATCAATTAGACAGATTGAAAGTAAATTTTCTTTTTTTTTCCTTTTTTAAATTATATACAGTTAAAAGGATTTATGAAAAATTACATATTAATGATGCCATGGTCGGTTCATTAAAAAACATTGGTTTCTTCTTGCTTGGATAGAGAAGTGAATCATGCTGCATTGTGACGTTTCAATATTTAAGACTACTTTAAGACTCTATAAGTACTTGCTTGACAAATTTTCT